TAACAACATGATTTGAGTCAGGCCACTTTTCAAAGCATCTTATTGGCCCAAAGAAATCTTATTCAACCTTGACATGCCAAACTGAGATTATAGATTCTTCTTCTTCTTACCTTTCTTGTTCCAGCCCCATTTCCCTCCAACCTTTCTTTCCCCTACTTCACTTGATGTGAGGAACAGATTGACAAGACCTGCAGTAGTCTAACTAGGGAATGAAATCCTTTTCTTACATGCACTTCTAGCTTTATTAGTTTGGGATTCAAAAGCTCCCAACCAGACCAGAAATTCATGACTCCAGTGAGCCCTCCAATCTTCAAACTACTTTATATATCCTGGACAGGTGAGTGATAGGACAGCTGGTAGCTGGATCAGTTCTGCTAAATCTTATAAATCCTGCAGGACTGTGTCGGGGGTTTCTGAGGAACTTTCTCTAATATGCTACAATACTAAATAACAATTGCTTTCAATTCTCAGTTGTGTCCTTCACTGAGGCAACAGAAGTCTCATCTGGTATCCTTTCAACATTAACAAAAGTGTGAACCAGAAATAACCCAGATATCAAAAGATTGCCAAATACAGTACATTCATATAAATAAATATCACTTGGTGTTAGAAATCTTAATCCAGTGCTGTGTTTATTGACATGGAAAGATGTTCTTGATTTATTCCTAAGTGAAAAATAGTAGTTACAGAACAGTATGTTTCTGTATACTCATATTTGCTATTGTGTAAAAAATAGTATGGAGTAATACATACAAAAGCATCATCATTCTAAGTCAAAACTATTGCGTGTGAGCCAAATATTGCCTGCCACCTATTTTTTTAAGTAAAATTTTATTGGATCACAGCCATGCCAGTGGCTGCTTTCCTGCTACAAAGCAGAGTTGAGTAGTTACAACAGAGACATTATAGCCGCAAAGCTTAATGTGTCTTCTGGAGCTCTATAGAAAAAGTTTACCGACTTACATTCTAAGTGATAGAATCACGAGTAATTTTAATTTTTTAAAATTTTTGTCTGACTTCATTTTTTAAATTTTCTGCAGTGAGCATAAATTTATTGCATAAAATATGTATCTATTATTAAACCGCTGAATCCTGGTTAGAAAATCTTATTACATTAAGAAAATTAAACCAGTCAAATAATAAAAATCTGATTATAGCTTTCAAAGTTCTAATTCAAAATATAAGACCTACATTGTAGGTAGTATATTAATTTTTCATTTTTAAAATTAAGACCTATGTGTGGACATGACTCTTCCATGTGCCAACAGGATTGGTTTCTCAAAACTTCATTTTAGAACTTCTGGTGTGATCTTTTTAATCTTATGTCTTGGCATATTAGTCTTCTGAGGCTGTGTTTGCATAATACAATGCTAAGTTTGATGAATAAGGTGCATTAATTTGAGTAAAGATTTTGGAGTAAGAAATAAGGGTGACACACATTTTGAAGACTGATTTTCTTTACTTGGCTTGTAAACTGGACATAAAAGGAGTACCAAAGAAAAGAGTTTTCAGGTGTTTGGAGCTTTGGAAAATAAATGAATTAGTATGGAACGTCCCAAGGACACAACTTTGAAAAAATAAATTCACTTGGATGCATAAATTATGGATATTTGTTACAACAGACAATTCTGATGTAGCTAAGCAAATTTTGCTTCAAAATCCTGTAGGATAAAACCTTATAAAACGTGTTTGAGTAATCAGGAAATAATTAGGACAGCCAGAAGACCTGCTAATTAACATTAGGTGAGGGAATACTTGAAAATAGAATTCATCTTAACCAGAAGTTCCAGATGACATGCATCTTTATTAAAAGAAACAGAAGTAAACAATACTTTAATTAAACTTTCAAATACACAAAGAGGCTTTTAAAATACAGGTAAGGAATGAGAAATAACACAATGGATTTTCATGAAACTATGAAGCAATTAAGATGAGAAATAATACATTTATGCTTTGAATTTATACATTTGCATATTGAGAAAGAATGCCACTATTCAAATATATATCAGTGACTTTTCAAATTTTAAGATCTGTTTTATTGACTAGATAGTATCTATCCAATAACAGAATTTCCTGATAGGGTAAAATCATTTACACATTTCCAAAGTCACCATTTTTCCTTAATATTCTCAAAGATTAAGACTCTGGCCTATCTGAGAAAAAAAAAACCATAATTTATCTGAACATTCATCTCAATATATTTTAAAAGGAAGGTGTCTGTCATTAGTGTATATTTTAATAGTTTTAAGATATTCTCTGCCTTCTGGCTCAATTGATCTCTATATTAATAACTCCCAATACATTTGTTGCCAGTTCTATACTCAACTACTAGGTATTCACCAAGAAAACCCCAAGATTTCTAACAACTAAGTATTTCCTCATGTTTCTGCTTCTAACCATTCACTTCCCACTCATTTTTGACCCTCTTCTGTGCTTATCTAAATCTGGCCTTCAAAACCTTCAAAATGCCACTTCCTTAATGAAGAATGTCTCTCTCTTCTTAAGCAGAAGTAATCATTTTCTGCTCTATGCTCTCATGCCTCTTACCAGGTTCTGTTGCAAATTAGAGATCTTTGAATGACTGTCTCATTTCCTCCTGCTATGTTTTAATTTTCTTATAGTCCATACTTACTTTACGTACTATTCTCTTCAGTGTCTAACACATTGTCAGCAATTAACATATTGTTAATATGTACTTGTTAATTCATAAATTACCTCTTTGAAAAGGAGATGTAAAAAGGAAATCTTTTTCTTAAAGAAATAGGAATATAGAGAAAATATATAACTTTATACATCTTCTCAATATAACCTAAATCAGAGGTGCTGATTTTACTACTAGATAGATATTTTCACTTAAGCCAAATAAATATACTTTAAAAACTAAACTACAATTGTAAAACAAAGCAACTACTATTTCACATCTAGGGTGACTGTTAAATACTTTTATATCATTAGTGATATATTAAGTCCTCCTTTTGTGCAGAAATATTAGTGTACCACAGACTAATCATTTAGAGAAAACATCATGCTCATTTATGCCACTTACTAATTTGTGGGACATTATTTAATTTTGAAAAGGCTCAGTTTCCTCATCTTTAAAATGGGAATAATTATTTTGAGCCTTACCTATTTTACAAGTTTTCTGTAAAAGATAATAAGACAATGTAAGTGACAGCACTTTGTAAACTGTAAAGTTCTATATAAATGTAAGGGTTTATGAGGAACATTAATATAAGGGACATTATTAGTAATATGAGAGAATGAGTGAGTCAATGGCTGACACAAGTCAGATCCTTTTAGATAAAATTCATATGAAATATCTTATGAAATGCTTGAAGCAAGGAAAGATTTTGGTATGTAATAACTTTAATTTTCATCACAAGAAACTGAGTAATTCCAAATATTAAGATTACTGGATTACTTTGGTGCTTTATGAGTTCTATGAGATTGCAAATTCAATCTGAGGGATCCTTACAAATGAAAGGGTTCCAGGCCTAAAATATTCTCCAATCTAATTTAGTGACTATTACCAATTAGGAAGAATGATTTTATGTCCTTCTCTCACACTATAGAGGTCAGTTTAATAAAGCTCTAAGACCTTTCCATCATATTTCATGTAATCCTGAAGTTTTAGTACACTCACTTAAAGGGAATATGGAATGTCCAGCCTAAGAATGAAAAAGGATCTCAGCATTCATTCATTCTAAGTAACACCCAGATCTGGAATCCCACTATGGTACCCCAGATGTCTCTAGCCTCAACCTGAATGGATCCAACTCAAAAAAAAAAAAAAAAAGATGGGAATCAACTGCTTATTCCTAAGTCAATTAGGCTTTTCTTTATATAATATCTTAGTAAAATATGATCTCCCGTCATTTGCAATGTGTCCTAAAAGCTTAGGTTTACCCATATACAGAACCTTGTAACATACACACAGAAACACATACCACATTGCTCTTGCCTAGTCTGTCCTTCCCTCTTAGTCTTCTAGGCCAATGGTATATAATTCCAAATTAGCTAGGGCAGTTAGCAAATATATTCTCAGGTTTAATTCCCTTTCTCTCTTCATGAGAGTTAATCAGCATATCTATAGACATTTTCTAAGAGTACCAGCTCTACTAGGATTAAATGTGTGATGGATTTTGCTGTTGCTTACAGAGCGCCAGTTTCTTTCCCAAAGGAGTCACTGAACAGAGCCTGTCTTGAATAACAAATGAACTTCAATGAGTTAAATTCTGTTAAAGTCACTCTGACTCTCATAGCCTGACATGGGCCTTGAGGATTATAAGCATTTAGTAGCCACATGATCAAACTGCCAAAATGTCTTTAAATGACTTGGCTAATCTTCATATTGTGCTTATGGTTAATGTCATTATTTAAAACTTTGGATTTAGACTGGCAGTAATTAATAAGCATAATGAATGGAATCCTTGCCTCTTACATTTTGAATAAATTGCACTGCCATCCACAGAGCAGCAAAAACTTAACTAATCATAATCAAAATTAACCATGTTTCTTCTATTCCACAATCCAAAGTAAAAATTTTAACTTGGTATAAAAATTAAAGTTTAACTTATCTCTGTCATAATTAAACATAAATAGTCAAATGAAACTAACACGGCGTAATGGTTTCTTTCATCTTACCTTCATGTGATGTAATTGTATCAGAGGGTAGGTGACTTTATTTAATAATAAAGATTTTCTTGTAGCATAATTTACAACTCAAGGATATCAGACAGAAAGTTACCTGCTCCAAGTGGGAGAACAAAGTCATTTTTCATAAGCCATCCTTATCTTAGGATGACCTAATATGGAAACTGATGGCATGGTGTTCTGTTTGATTTAAACATAGAGGTTGATTTAACCTCTATAAACTAAAATCTATGCTGAAATAAAAACTTCACATAAAAATCAAATTTCTATTTTTAATTCCTATATGGTGATTTATCTTTGTTTATATGATATATGAGGCTTCAATAAGATTTCTCTGTTTCTCTTAGAAGATAAAGGGAAGTTAAAAGCCAACAGTTCCAGTCAGCCGTCAAGCTCTGAAAGTGGCTCATTTCTCCTCAAATCTGGCACAACACCCCTGCCACCTGGAGTAGCCACTTCTCCCTCCAAGAGCACAAATGGAGCTCCCAGTACTGTTGCTGAATCAGAAGAAGAAAAAGCCAAAAAATTACTTTATTGTTCACTATGCAAAGTGGCTGTGAACTCCCTGTCACAGCTAGAGGCACACAACACAGGTTAGCAGCTATCTTTTGCATTTAAATAATGTTTATAACAAAACCCAACATTTCCCATCAGAATACCGTATCTTTTGTTGTTCAGACCTTAGGTTTGTTCGATGCTTCTTTACTTTTTGGATTCAAAGGAGTGATTTTAGAAAAGTATGATCATATGACTTTGAAAATAGTGAGGCAAAAGCAGCTTGGAGATCAAACTTGTCCTATTCTTTATTTCCTTAAAAACATCTATTACTGTCCAAAATTCATTTTGATTAAGTGACAGAGATGAAGATAAATATTTATGCACAATGATCACTGCAACACACTTATAAGAGAATAAAAATGGAAACAACCTAAAAGCCCACCAGTAGGGAATTACTGAATAAATTATAGTAACTCAATATGATATATGTTAAACGGCCATTAAAATATAATGATCAGAAAATATTTACATGATTTGCTATGTGAAATTTTCAGGATACTTAATTAGTATGATCCCAATTTTGAATTTGTTTTTAGTACATAAAAAAAAGAACCTGACAAGAAATACACTAAACTGATAACAGTGGTTACCTCTGAGTAGTGAAAGTATGGGTAATCTTTATTTTCTTATATTTCTCTATATTTTTAAAATTTTATTCTATTTCCATTTTTTACAATAAAATGTGTTAAATTTATAATCAGCATTAAAATGGTCATTTAAAAAAAGCATTGGGAATTTTAGCCTGCAGATAAATTTCTCAAGGATAAGTAAACAAACAGCTTTATATAATTCTTGGATAGCTGTTTAATATGTCTCTTTCTGTCTTAGGATCTAAACACAAGACCATGGTTGAAGCTCGTAATGGGGCTGGTCCAATTAAATCCTATCCTAGACCTGGATCAAGATTAAAGGTGCAGAATGGCAGTAAGGGATCAGGACTACAGAACAAGACATTTCATTGTGAAATCTGTGATGTTCATGTTAATTCAGAAATTCAACTCAAACAGGTAACATATCCTGAATTAGTAAACATTGTTTGTGGTCACCACGTGACTGTTTTTCTTCTCATCTATAGAATGGTTCTTATCGTACTCACAGTTAAATTGACTAACTTTTGTAGAATGCATACAATATGCAACATACAGGTGCTATGTGGCAGAAAAAGTCAGTATGAAATATTTGAGCATCTACTGTTACTATATGTCAGGTTCCAGGCTAGATGTTGGAGAAATGGTAACAGTAGTCACTGGAGCCTACAGCTGAGCAGGAGCTTCTGGTAAGGGGAGATGTTAAGCCTGTCTTCCAAAGGCTCAAAATCGGATTAGAAAGAGAGATACTCACCAGTAACAGTGGTAATACCAGGCAAAATCTGATAAGGGTTATAGAGAACAGGAGAGGGACACAGAGGCATTACAATTGAGGAATAAGTCTTCATTTAGAAATCATAACGATTTTACCCATACCATTGTGGAACCATGGACCTAGAGTTGGCAGTGGAGTAAACAGCTACCTAGAAATATATTTTACATGGAATGAGACTCACATTCAATTCAGCTAATGCATCAAACTTTTTTCAGCACATTTCTAGCCGAAGGCATAAAGATCGAGTTGCAGGGAAACCACTGAAGCCAAAATACAGCCCTTACAACAAACTCCAACGGAGCCCAAGTATTCTAGCAGTAAGTTTACCTCACCTGCTTACCTGTTTAGTGGGGCAGCCTTGCTGGGCTGGGCAGCCACTGTGGCTAAGGAGGGCATCGAGTCTAATGGGCATGAAAGGTTTTGAATTTAAATAGCCTCATAGAAGTTTTAGAATAAACTGCTTAGTTCCTGCTACAGAGCAACTTACTTAGAAAACAGAACTGAACTGCTTTAAGAGCCAATACTTTACTCTTCACCAAGTTGTTTTCAAAAGACTACCCTCTTTGGCATATAAAGATAAGTAAAGGTTCAAGAACAAGGACAAGTGATACTCAAGGAATCCTGGGATGTGGAACTTGGAAAGAGGGATTTCTTTCATAAAACAAAAATCCATCAATTTAATATCCTCATGCTTTCTGTTTTAAAAAAAAAAAAAATCAATATGAGAAGGTAAAGTGGTGTCTCTATCGTGTGCACCATTCTAGCAGGCATGTTGGTAAATAGCCTGTTTTACCTGCTCTCAGTATGTACTATTTTTAGTGTCTTTCCAAAAACACCTAAGGACTCCAGCAGTAAGTGTCATATAAATACCAAGATGGATGGATTTCACAATCTCTCTGGGACTGGGCCCAGTGCAGTGTTCGGTCTGAAGATGAAGCTGAACTTGTCCAGCTGGAGGCAATCCTGAGATTACCCTCCAGCTTCTCCAAAGCCTCTGTCTGATGCTGCAAGCAGGTGTTACCTGCATTAAACAGATCCAGCTCGCAATGCTCCTCCTGATTGCAAGAGAGAGAAGTTAAGGATTGATTTCTTCACAGGAGGATTCTATCCTGGCATTCCATTAAATAGAGAGTTTTGAGCCCACTTACAGTCATTCTCAACAATAGAAATTTGATTAAGCTGTGATTTTTCAAGTAATACTTATTAAGTAGCCAGTGAGAGAGGTGTGACCTGACTGTTTTCTTGCTCTTCAGGGTCCCTCACGTCCTGAACTCATTACCTAAACTCAATGCAGCTTATCTAAGAGAAGGGAAGGACTACATACATTCTCGAAAAACAAAACAAAACTCTCTAGGCCTCATCATGGTTTAAGACAAGCCTGAATTTTGAGTTGAGCTTCCTCAACTAAGCAGGAAACTTCCTGGCACTTTTTTTTTTTCCTGCTGATCAGCAGCATAAAAAAGCTTTAGCATTTATTCCAAGGCCTTTCCCTGTGCACACAGGAGCAAAGAGCACCAAATAAAAGTAAAGAAAGCTATGTCATGAGCCCCTGAAACCAGCATTGTGAAAATAATCATTTCTTAACTTCTGAGAGTAAAGATTTTCAGAATTTAAGACTTCTTAATGTTGGTGTTTTACTTATGGAAAGATGTCGATGTCTGCAGTAGTTTTATTCAAAAACATTATCTCCACCCCATTTCTGATTTTCCCCCTCCATTAGGCAAAACTTGCATTCCAGAAAGATATGATGAAGCCTTTGGCCCCAGCCTTCCTGTCCTCACCTCTTGCGGCGGCGGCGGCCGTGTCCTCTGCGCTGTCACTCCCACCTCGGCCTTCTGCCTCGCTCTTCCAGGCTCCAGCCATTCCTCCAGCTCTTCTGAGGCCGGGGCACGGGCCCATCCGCGCCACTCCTGCCTCCATCCTCTTTGCTCCGTACTAACGTCTGCAAAACCCAAGACGTTTGAGGCCAGTAGGAAGCTGAGAAGAAAAGCCACAGGGATTCAGCAATTTAAGCAGTTTGTATTGCAGTACCCCCATTCACCCACAAAATGCAGCCTACCCACCCCAAGCCCCAGTTCCAAAGAGAAACACATCACTAGATTCAAGAGGGCTTTTAGAGACCGCTCCTATAATTTAGGAATCTGAGCAGCATAGGCTTTATCTCCCTATTTCCTCCCTGACCCTATCCCGTTCAATTTGTATATCTCAGATATTTGGTTTCTTGCACATGTATTGGTCAGAAAGAAAAAGAAAGAAAATCATTCTCTATTTTTCCATGGGTATGATCTGGCTTAAAACAATATGGAATATTTTCCTGACAGACTTGAAAACTAGGATCTTCCTCAGATGTCTGTAAATAACTCTGGTATCCAACTGGGTGTATTCTAGTGTGGAACAAAAATCAGTGAACACAAGTGCTTACTTGTGGATACCACCTTACCAACGTATCACAAAGTTCTCTTTTTGGTGTACTGTTGACACGGATTGTGTACTGTTTCGACCCAAGTACTGTTGTATCCTGTGTAGTACTAGATTTGTATCTCTTGTCTGAATTGAACATTTTTAGTTGCTGTGTAAATGTTAGGAAGCAACGTAGCTTTGAATTTTCTCTTTAAGAGAACAAAAGATAAAGTAATGTATTTTTGTTGTTTCACATTTTATTTGGAGATATTTAAATGAAATAGAAAGCCATATAACATAGCTATAATTACTACCTGTTTGCTATTTTTGTTTAACTTATTTTGTAGCTTCCTCACTGGTTTGTGTTGCTAAGCAAATGTATACAAACAGAAAAAGAGCTTCCTAAATTGCACATTTTTGCATCTCTTGTGCATTCTGCAAGAAGACAATGAATCCATGTATTTCTATATAATTATCTTCTTCATTTTTAACCTGTTTTCATTTGTAATGATGCTACATAATTTTGTGGCTCTTTAATGCAATAATGTACAGAAGATTAAAAAAAATTTATAATTGAAGAATTTGTTTTTCTGTTCACTGAATATGTTGCAGGTCATGCTCCCATGCCCCCCTTTCTAAGCTGGTATCAGCAAGACTGGAATGTTTGTGATATCAGGGGCGAGCTGTCATAAAACAACAAAATAGAGTAAACTCTTTTAGAGCATCTGTATCTGCAACCTGTAAATGGTAAAATGTCTGTGTATTTTTTTAAATGTACCTTTTCAATAAAAGTACAAAATATAAAACCTGTTCGTATTTTCAATGTTTTTTTTCCTCCTGAGACACCTCCAATTTGAAATCATCTGATGAAAGATTTTTAATAGGTACAAAGATTGCTTCTGACATAGCATTTTTAGCTCGTTTGCAGCATATTTATTTGTCATGTTTATTCATTACTGTTCACAGCATCTGCATGAGGTGAAATTTTACTGCTGTTTCCTCTCTGAATCTCTAAGATGTTGGGCCAAAGGTGTTGAGTTACCCAAAATCACAGTAGCAGCCTGCAAAAAACTTTGGACTCAGATTTTTTTAACTTACTGTGGGTCCTCTAAATCTCTAGTTCAACTTTTATTGGTGTCCATGGCATTTATGATCTCTCTTAAGAGAATCTTATTCCATTTCTCCTCCTTTGCCTTCTCCAATCAGCATATCCCTTTTTTTCTTCCACCTCATTCTGTTGCTTTTAAGTATAAAGATCAATACATCACTGTTTATTCTGGTGAATTATTGCTGCTTACAAGACTGCTCTAAAACTTAGTAGGTTAAAATAATAACAACTTGATAACTAGTTATATCAGAATTTCATGGGTGAAATTCTGGATTTCAAATCCATCAGGATTTGGCTGGGCTGTTATTCTGTACCCGGTGGCATCAACAGAGTGCCATTGGTAGTGTTCAGCTCTCACATGGGCTGGGCTGGCCCAGGATAACTTCCCTCATATGTCTGCCCAATCAAAAATGGCTGGAAGGTTGAGCCTTACTGGTACCATCTACCAGGGGCCTCTATGTGGCCTCCCTAGCATCCTCCTTGTTGTCTCAAGTAGTTACACAGTAGCAGACAGAACATTTTAAGAGTCCCGGGCGAAAATCAAAGCCTTCTTAAGAAACAGTGTTGAAACTCCCAGCACAACTTATGCTACATTCCATTGATCGTGCAAGTCACCAAGACCAATCCAGATTCAAGGGGAAGAAAATTAGACATCACTTCTCAATATGCAGAAGAGAAAGAATTTGCCACCATCTTTAATCTACCACACTGTTATAGAAATTGGAGGGGAGTGGCTACAAAACCATTACAGATCCTGTTTCTCCCTGCTGACATGTTAACCATGTCAGTTTTTTTCCCTATTTATTTATTTTATTGCATTTTAGGTTTTGGGGTACATGTGAAGAACATGCAAGATTGTTGCATAGGTATACACGTGGCAGTGTGATTTGCGTCAGTTTTTTTTAAACGAGAATTAGGGTGGGACTGAGATTCTCATTTCTAAAAATTTAAGGCCAGTAGGTGGCAGTGTAGCTGTGATGCATGGCAACAGACTTCCTCTGCGTTTATCCAACTGAAAATTGTTGAATATTTTAGTCTTAAAAATCAAGTTTCTTTCAGCTTCTAGTAAGATTCCAGTTTGATATTCAGAATTTGTCATTTTTTAAAAATAAGACTCATTTGAAGTCTAACAAATACTGGTTACACTTAACCTTGGTTGTATCTTCGACATGATTTATAGAGAGTATGTCCTGATGGATTTGTGTTTCCTTTGAACACTTTGGGGTACTATTTATTTTTATTTTTATTTTTAGAGACTTCAATGGCCATGATATATTGTTTATCTTTCATTATCCTAAATTTCATTAAAGCTTTCTGCAATCCTCAAAAATTTGTAAATGTCAGTATTTAGACAGACTAAGGAATTTACTGATTAGATTTGTAAAGTTAAGATTTGTTAAAAATTACCTCAGGGAAGAAGAAGTACAAAAGAATACCAGTTAATTAAAATGAATGCTTTCAAAAAGAAGCCAAGAGTAGCTTTAAGCAATTATTTATAAAATAATATTAAACACATATATTTCATGATTCACCCTGATTCTGAGGTGCTAGTGTGGGTCAACCCTGGAAAGGATACATGTATCTGAACTAACACCTCTTCCAACATGATTTCTAATGAGAAAAGAGTGCCACTCTACTTCACTTACTGTGAAAGTTACGAAACATACTGCTTCCTCTGACAGTCTCTTTCTGGTCTCTGTAGAATCAGAAAACTGGTCTCAGGTAGAGTTGCCAGATAAAATATAAAATACCCAGTCAAATTTGAATTTCGGATAAACCATAATTGTTTGGTGTAAGAGTTTAAATAATTTTAGTATGATATTGCACATAGCAGGAGTATGTTTCATAAATACACATGCAATATTTGGGACCTACTTATACTAAAAGATTATTTGTTGTTTATCTGAAACTCAAATTTAAATGGACATCCTATATTTTTATTTGCTAAATGTGGCAACCCTTTTCTCAGGAGCATTTCTCCTCATCTCCGGAATTGTGATCCTTCAGGGCAAAAACAACCTCTTGGGTATTAAAAACAAAATAATGAGTTTTTAAAAGGCATATTGTAATATATACTCACAAATAGGCAGAAGAAGGAACTTGCATGAAGTAACCATCAGTGATATATTGACTTTGCGTAGGACCAGCAAGGGGGAAAATGTAACTGCAGATGCCTCCTACTTAAAGCTATAGTGACACCTGTTTATCAAAATTATTGTAAAAGGGTAAAACAAAATTTGTTTATCTTATACACCAACAACAGAACCCTTGATTTTCATCTTTGCTCTAAAAGAATTCTGGCTTTTCAGAGCAGAAATAGATATGGTCATGTCAAATTTTTCTCTCAGATAGTGTTTAAAGAAAAAAAACCATACTACATTTAATGTCATTGGAAAAGAGAAGGAAGAAAATTCTCACTGGAAAAATGAACAAACAAAGGAGAACAAGTAGAAATCCTGTTCTGCAAAGACTCCCAAAGGGAGCCGAAAGAGACTGACCAAAGAGATTGAATTTGGGGATCTTTTGTAAAATGGGCACCCACTGCCTGGGGTGCCACCAGGGAGAAGAAACGTGGGGAGGAGAGAGATGGCCAGGAGCTGTTTGACAGATAAAGATTAAGTTAGCATGAAGACATAGACATAGACACCCTAGATAACCACAGGCATCTTCAGATGACAGGGTGAAGGATTTCATTCCACCTCTGCAGGTCTTGTGGATTCTGGCCTTTCTTTACAGTGCTTCTTCCATCAGGTCTTTGTTTTGTTAATATGATGGCCTAAATGTCAGAGGTGACACGTCTCTTTGGAGAAAATAGTTTCTGGTACCGCGGTGGGTTGAGCAGAAGCTATGCAGGGCAAGAGCAAATTCCACAGGGGATGCTGTGTTTGCCTCCTTCCCTCCTCCAAGTAATTAGCTCCATAGGGGAATTTATCAAGGACATGTCCTTGCAGGTTCTCAGCAGCTATGGAGTGTGACTTGGTAATTGCCTTTATGTCTTTGGCTAAAATTTCTAAAGCCAGATTGACTCATGTATTCTACTCCTAGCTAAGTGCTCAAAATGCATAAACGCTCTGGTCATCAGATAGAATTCCTTCTGTAGGTGCACTGAAAATATCTTCATATTTTTCATTTTAAGAAGTCACTTATCTACAGATAATTGGAAAAACTTGCCATTAAGTATCTGCTGTCTATTTTTATCATAGTGAAAAAGTAAAATTAGGATATAGCATAACTAAACAAGAAAAATACATAATTTGCACTCAAAGACCTAAATCCAAATCCTGATCATGTCATATAGACATTAGTTATGTGATCTTATGTCAGAAAAATATTGTATGTAATATCTCCAAAGCCTTCGTTTTTCACATATATAAAACAGATATAATAGTATTCAACTCACAGGGTGATTCTGAGAAGCAGATATAGTTAATGTTTTGGTACATTATCACATGCTATGTAAATTTGCATAGTAGATGGATAAATCAAATCAATAATTACTCTTATTTTAAATTTCTAAATTGTAAGATTCTCTCAAATTAGCCAGCTTTTTGCTACCTTGTATTTATATTTTATTATATATTCAGTAGGTTTGTTACATAGGTATACTATACATAGATATATAATATGATGCTGGGGTTTGAGCTTCTAATAAACATAGTACCCAATAGGCAGTTTTTCAGCTTGCCCCCTTCCCTTCTTCCCTGAGTCCCCAGTGCCTGCTGTTTCCATCTTTATGTCCATGTGCACTCATTGTTTAGTTCCCAAGTTAAAATATGCAGAATTTGATATTCTGTTTCTCTGTTGTTTCACTTAGGATAATGCCCTCCAGCTGCACTGATGTAGCTGCAAAGAACATGATTTCATTCTTTTTTATGTCAAATTAGCCACTTTTAAGTCTTTAGTGGTGACCTAGACTCAGAGAAAAAATTTATCTGTAAAGAAGAAATAGCAAATGCATTAATTGCATATTTATGCTCCTAGTCTCAAAGGTATAATCCAAATTGAAGTATAAGATAACAGAGCCAAAGGAAATGCAAGATGTTTGCTTATCACAAGAATGTTTGAATTTTATCTTATTTCCACATTAGAAAAACAGAATCTTATGTTTTTTTTTTGTTTTTTTTTTTTTTTTTTTGAGATGGAGTTTCGCTCTTGTTACCCAGGCTGGAGTGCAATGGCGCGATCTCGGCTCACCGCAACCTCCGCCTCCTGGGTTCAGGCAATTCTCCTGCCTCAGCCTCCTGAGTAGCTGGGATTACAGGCACACGCCACCATGCCCAGCTAATTTTTTGTTGTTTTAGTAGAGACGGGGTTTCACCTTGTTGACCAGGGTGGTCTTGATCTCTTGACCTCGTGATCCACCCACCTCGGCCTCCCAAAGTGCTGGGATTACAGGCATGAGCCACCACGCCCAGCCCAAAAACTTCCTTACATTGTAAAAATAAAATCATAACTCTTGTTATGCAAAATAAAATACTCATCTCTGAAGTAAAAAACCAAAATACTAAAAAGAGTATTTAAACATACAAAACACACTAGAGAAAATATTTACAATCCTTATGACATATAAAGATTCATATTCTTATTATACAGAGAACTTGTAAAATGGGGAAGGAGAACACTTTCAAAAAGAAATTAATAGAAAACTGGACAAAAAGGCAAACCAAAAGAGATAAAATATACACAAATGCCTAATAGGAAA